ATGGCTGGAAAAAAATGTGTTTTAAAATACAGCTACTGAAATACATAGTTTTATAATGTAATTTGAAAAAGTCTATGGAATTTTGGGATTGGAACTACTTAGTTCTCAGTTGCAAACCTGTTGGGAACCACTGAACTAGATAGTTTATTATAATTCATGGTAAGGCAAACAGGATTGAATGTTGCACATATGTGCATAGAAATTTTGAATACAGTAAGTTGAAGGAAAACATTACATTACAAGATGTTGGTTTGGACCTTATTTTGAATATTATGTTGAGTTGTTGGAGAAGGTTCAGAGAAGACCTATCAGGAGTGTTCCGGGTTTAGAGGTGTTATTACATAGGAATAGGTCTGAATCTCTGAAGTTCATTATTATTATTTTTTTCTGAGTAAGGTTTTAAGATTGTTAGAGGTTTAGAATCCATAAATCCAGTTGTCACTTACAACAATTATGGTAGCATGACTAGAGGATACAAGGTTAAATGTGAAGAACTTATACATGACTTTCCATTGCTAAGTTTTATTACCATATAATAATATGACCATGTTTGATGCATTGATTTTGGACATAGTAAAAATGAAACAAAGCTGGTTTTCAAAACAGATTAGGTTAATTGGTGAGGAGGAAAACTGTGACTATCAATGTTTGTCCTTAAAAGAAGCTGCAATCTGGTGACCAAGGTCAAGAATACTCAAGGGTTGGATGACCCTGTTGCTTCATTGAACTAATCATGCTATACGTGAAGAGTGCGTGTGATATATATATACAATAGTTACACTCATAAACATATATGTTTGTAACTATTAAATGTAAATTATCATATCACCTTTCAAACATTTTACCACACACATATACATTGTACCCAAATTTTCTGTTAACTGGTAAATACTAGATAGAGATTTAAGCCATCAGTCAATCTGACTACATGCAAAACTTCTGTGAGGGGCAACTGTCTTAGCATTTAACACTTCAACCATGGTGTCAGTTCATTGGTCCTGATGTTCATTTTTGCGACCTAGAATTTTCACTTGAGAAATAAAGGTTTAAAAATCAAGAGAAAAAGAAACTAAGCTACCAAAAATCTCAGAATAATGACACACGAATGCTTTATATAGTTGTCTTTTTAACTGCACATGTGCAATCAGTATTATTTCCACACAAAAACAAAACATATTTAAAATGACAGTAGGATCACAAATGCTTACGTGATAACATTTTGATCACCTAAGTGTGCATGCCCAAATATGCCATTTCCACCTAAATGCAAAATGAACAACATGGTTTTAAATATTAGTGATTATAAGTGTTCTGTTGAATAATGGGTATTTAGAAGTTTCTAAAGTAGTTATCAAATAAAGAGAAGCAAGATAATGCCTCTAGCACCTGCCGAAGAATTGAAAGGCGAGTATTTCAATATTTTTAAGTGAAAAGAAGTGCATTTTATTTGAACATCATCAATTAACCATATTATTTCTAAAGATCATTTTTTTACAAGCATAATAAATTAAATCATATTTAAATCTGCAAATCTGTATTACATATATTTTTTAAAATAAAAAATTGGCTTTAACTTCAATAATAATGCAGTGATTTTAATGATTGCAGTTCATGGACTAGGGTTACCAGATGAACTACAGCCCTATTGTGACATTTCTGAGTCAAAACAGACCTGCAATCACTTGGAACTTTCTAGTATTTAGAACCTGAGGATAATGAGACTGTTAAGTTAGTTTTGTGTTCAATGTGCACAAATTTTGCAAAACATGAGACTACAGCTTATATAGTGGGAAGTGGCAACATGAAACATTTCACACAGCATCACAAAGATGCCATTGGTACAAAGAAAGCAAAAAAAAACTTGCTGGTAAAATCAAGCAACAACATTCTTAAGGTATAGCAAAAACTGGAAAAGGTCACACAACTTAAAAATTATTATTATTTTGAAAACAGCATATTATGTAGCACATTTTGAAGAACAAGTTGTTAATTACTCGAGGGTCTAGGATTACAAAGTTGGAATGGATTACTGGTTGGTGACACTTAGAATGTAAACAGTGCATGCCTAGTTTAAAACCTAGTGCTGGCCTGCTTTTAAAAGTAGGGTTTTCATTGTCACCTGTTTCACTGTCTTATGTTGATGTGCTCTTCATACTCCCCACTGCACTTTCATTCATCATCCATTTGTTTTCTTCTAATGGAGCATGGAAGTCCTTGTCACTCACCAGTTCCTAGCCACTGAAGTGGTGGACCTATTGGTGGAGAGTTGTCACATGCTCATTTGCATGCAACAGTGCAGCAATATCATGTGGAAACATGTGAGGTTAGGTGGGATCCTCTAACTAATGGCAAGCAAAAAAAGTCCACTTGTAGAGGGCAGCACTGAATCAGGAAAGTTAGATGTAGCAAGGGGTGAGAATCTATTGAAAATGTATTTTCAGTGTTGGAAAATCTTAACTTTTGTAAAATCTACAGAACCCCCTCAATCTCTTTCATTACAAATCTTTAATTGAAGGTGCAAAAGACTTCAAGTATTCAGTAAAAACTACATGTCCTTGTTTTTATGTTCATATTTTATTTATTGTCATATATCTTTTAACAAAACTAACACAAATGTAAAATTAGAAACTTCTCAGCTTAGCCTTACAAAAATTAATATATATTAGTATAGTATATATATAATATATATTAGTATAGCTGTTAGTTGGCTTCCACTCGTATTTATTGCTTTTGAGGATCTCAGCAGTAAAACCAAAAACTAATAGGAAACTGATGTGTAAAACGTTTTTGATATTTATATACTATAATTTAGGTTTTAGAAGTTATGCAAATAAAATGAAAATTGTGTGAAGAAAAGAAATATTTTTATTCTTAGCTTGAATGTCATCTTTCAATCATACTGACCCAGTAAAGGCTTTGGAAATTCACAGACAAATCTTTAGTAAAAATAAACAGACCTACGTTAGTTAAAAGATTTCCATAGCTAAGTTTTCCTACATAAATATTCGTATGTTTATCAATTTATTATGAGTTAATTATGAATAGATGTTAGACAATGACTGTTTCATTTTGTATGGTGATCAGTTAAATAATTAGTAATTGGTCACTGCGACCTGTAGTGGTTTTTAGTTATGATTAAAGTTATAATCTAAAGTATTCCATTTGGAAAGATGGGCAGAATATGTCAAAAGAATGTTATTGTACTCTTTATGTTGTGAAAATGTTTACTTGGGTCAGACATCTAAAACATTTTAAAATTTCACATGATGAACTTAGAAGAGCATAATATTTAAACCTTATCTCTTGTTCAGCTTTAGCAGAGCATGATTATAAAACAATTACAATATTATCTGACAGACTACCACCATTCAGTTTAAGAAACGCTTCAAAATAGGTTCTTTCTTGATACATTGGATATTGTTAAAAATATTAACTAACTGTGACAAAGATCATTTATATCTCGTTTTTCGTTCTCTTCGTGAAAGTTTTTAGTTGTTGACGTTATCTGTGATACATCTTATCTTTCGATTTAGTTTATTTATACCGTGTAATACTGCATTGGTATAGCCCCGATGATTGGACCTTTTGATTATTTTATGACTTATCCTAACAACATTTCAGTTTTAGTATGGGCTGCCTGATTTTAGTTTTGTACAAGTTTTTTTTTTTTTTTGTTATTAAAAGATTGATGTATTTTAATCACCGATGCAAACTTTTGATGGGATACCAAAATCTTTACAGCTTAAACAAGCGGTTGATAATTGATTTAGTAGAAGTTTTCTCTTAAAGCTAAATATCTTTAATTAACGATTAATATCCAGCAAAGTCATTTTTGCATTCATTTCCCTTCTAAAGAAACTTGTAATTTAACTGTTCAACAGAAGGCTTTACATCAACATATCAGAACATGAGAAAATAACTCTTCAGATATTTATGTGATTGAAATATAGTGACAAGTTTTCAGTTACACAATACAGTGATTAAAAGTGTATTAGTAACCTGTTTCCACAATGATTTACTTAACTGAAATCTTAATTTTGCTGTAAACCATTCCGATATATTAGTTGCTGATGTTTGAATGTATGTGGAAACTACTTGACTCCATTATTATACAAAGTTGATATTCAGAAATCTTACTCATTAGTCCCATTCTTTTTACTATTAAATCCAGAAATATAATAATCTGTTATATTTAACTGTGGATAAAAATAATATAATTATAGGTGTAAATAAAATATTACTACAACAAAGATGTATTAAAACTTTTGAATGTTTAAGAGATGTGTTAAGATAGCTAAAGATCCAGTAACTCCCACTGAATGTAAAACTAATGATACACCTATACAACTTGTGAAACAGGTGTGTTATGAATAGAATGTGCAAGTAACTTAGTCCTGACAGTGCTACCCAGGTTTTTATGGGTTACCAAAGGCCCATAAATTAGGTTCACCGTACAGACTGATTATGTCTTCACTTACCATGTTAGGAAAACATGTAGATTCAAAATACCAATCAAAGAAAAAATATAAAACCATATATCTCAGACCTTTCAAAAGGGCTCAGACTATAGTTTATTATTTTTACAGATATTCTTTTTCATTGATTTGTCGTTGTATCAGTTTTTTAAATGACTTATAAATTTTCTTTTAACTATAAATAGTAAGACAGAATTTTGTGCTTATGTTCTGAAGACTTTTGTTTCTTTATTTCCATAAAATTAATTAACTCAAAAGAAATTACCTTGTCATTTTAAGTAATTTCTTTGTTTATCTACATTCCCACTGCTTTTTCCATTGGGAAGGATAATTTCTTACATTTACAGTAACCTCCATGTTCTTTCTCTTTTTGTTTGAATGCTGAGATTTTAGCTGTTAACTGTGCACACAAAAAAGAGATAAGTTAATGTATTTGAATTTAATTTGTTTATATTCATAACTGAATTGAAATAGTCGCATCTATTTCTATACATGTTCACTTTTTCTTTCTATATTTAATTTTAGGTCTAAAATGAAATGGAGATCTAGGATTTTTGGAAAAGGTCAGCAGTGTAATAAACCTGTACATATAAATTGGAAATGGTGATTGGCTCAAGGAGTAACTTGGTAGATGAAAGTATATTCTCGTATATGAAAGTATGATGAATTACATCATGATGATGGAAAGAAAATGTCAAGAAAAACTAATTTATACAGTTGAGATCAAATACAGAATGTTTTTACATTAATAGGTAAGTATTAATTTGCAATTCATTTTGATTCCAAAAATATATAGATTTACTCTGTCAACTATAAATACCAAAACCCTAAATGCACATTAATCTTGCTTTTGAAACTCAATGTTATAATAAAATGTTGAACCTACCTCATAATATGCATTAAATTCTGTATATTGTATCCTTCATCTTTTTAACACTTAAAAGTGAATTTTTTAACTCTGGCATCCATCGAAGTGCACTTATTTCCTGAAAGCAAAATCAAACCATAGAACTTCTTGTCATTCTTCCATACATTTAAAAAATATCTTCAGAGTTGAAATTTATTCAATAAAAAGTTTATTTACTTAATTTTGTACATAAAAAAGTGTAAAAGCCCACAAATATTAATATTGGATTAATTTAAATATGGTTTGAAAAAAAACTGTAGTGCTTTTGAATTTCCTAAATTTTTTTTCTGAGCTTAATACAGCACTCGTAGCCCCCTAGGAGTAAAGTCAAAATAGTGTTGAACAAAATAACACCAGTTGGAACCTTGTAAACTTCAATAATAGTGTAGTTCCAAAAAACACTTACCTCCTCGCACATTTTATCCCGATGAAAGTTTCTAATCTGCCGCCTCTGGAGTTTAGCAATGTCTAGGTGTCAGGGGGAGATCCATTTCCGTGGAGGACATCCAATCCTTCATATGCAGAGGTGGAGACTTACATGAGGTCTGATGTTTCTTCTCCTGTCTGCTCAGAGGTTGAGGTTGCTGGGATCAGGGGCAGACTAGTGAGAATTTGGACTCTATTTTCAAGCTCCTTCCTTTGCTCAGACAGCTGATCATGATCTTTGGATGAACATCTTGACTCCTGCACCATTTTTGCAACTAGCAACATCAAGTTTGTAATGCCTTAAGCATTTCTCCTGTGGCTTATGGCTCTTTTCCTTCTTTGTTGGATAGTCATTTGGCTGATTACTTAGTCTTTCCACCTTCACCAGACGTTGCTGTGCATGCTCGGAGATTTGCTAATCACTAGAGAGAGGGTGTTGCCATGCCTTGTCAACCCTATTTATCAGACCAGCATGTCTTAGTCTTCTATCACTTGGAAGACCCATATTTAGATTCTCAGAGTTAGGTTAGATCCTCTTCTTTCTATTTGGGTTCTAGGCCTGATGTCACTATTTGTCTTAATTGTACACAGTTTTACCAGATTTGTCTGTCCCTTATCTTTTTTGCAATTGTTGTCTGAGGCACATCACAGATCTTCTGCTCAATTTTCAGAGGTTTGTAGTCATTTATTGACTTCTACTTTGGTATGATTATCAGTTTTTGCTCTTTTCTTGGTCACTTGGTTTGTTGCTGGGGTCTTTTGAAGAGAGATGCCTTGTTTGAGGGTATTTGACTTCTTTTTTCAACCCTTAGGGATCTCAGAGAAGTTCTTTTTCTCAGACAGTCAATTTTTGCAGGTATTCCAGATTCCATGGATTGCTTCTCTCCAGAGATGGGGAGCTTGTATATGGGATATGGAATTCAAAGGCCTCTGGACAGAAGAGGAATCTTCTCTTCACATCAATCTTTTAGAGCTTCTTGCAGTTCAACAAGGTATGGCCTCTTGCCTTTCCCGGTCTTCTACTGGATGGTTTCATGCATCTCCCATTCAAGTTTCCAGACTTCTAGCATCAGCTCCATGTCCTATCAGAACACAAAGGAAATTCCACCCTTATCGGTGGGCATCTTCCACTCATGTGGAGTGCTGACAACAGCATCAGTGACTACCCTATGGGGTCTGGTCTTGTGGGGGGCTCAACTCAGATGGTTTGTGTCTGTATGGGAGAGCTTTGCCACCATTCAGTGGGCCATTTAGGTTCTTACGAGTGGATTGGTCCTTCATATCATATTTCCTCCTCAGTTGTCTTTTATACTGGATGTCTTTCCCCTCTCCAAGGATCTTCTGCACAAAGAGGCTGTAGAATGCATGCATCAACTCCTCTCGAGGGTTCTTATTCCCGTTTGTTTGTAGTACAAAAGAAGACGGGTGATTGGCAACCTGTCATCAACCTTTCTTGTCTCAATCATTTCCTCCCACCTCCTTGGTTTACCATGAAGTCGTTTCTTTCCCTCCGGTTTCACTTTGCACCCGGTTTATAAATGACAAAGTTTGATGTTACCAATGCCTATATTCATATTACAATCGCGGAGTCTTCACATCGTTATCTCCATTTTGTGCTGAGAGGCATGTTTTTCATTTTTCTGCTCTATCGTTTGGCCTTGCATCTGGCCCATACATTTTTTGCTAGATAGTTAGATTCTTTTCACATCACCTTCATTCATTGGGCATTCACAATCACCATTATATGGATGACTAGCTTCTTTTCACTCCTTCTCACCACTTGACAGAGCTTCACAATTGAGCTCTTTTATTTGAAGCTGCGATAGCTGGGTTTCTCGTCAAAATGGAGAAGTCTGTTGTTACTCTCACACAGTACCTCGTCCATTTAGAGTATTGTCTCGGAACACCTCAGATCGAATGGTTTTCCACTCACTGGAATGCTCAGCTCCTGTCCTTCTGATATCCTGCCCCTCACCCTCGACATCCTTTCTAGGTTCCTACTTAGGATATTGGTGGTTCTCCATGCTTTATCTCATCCACCCTTTGAATCTTTTGTGACGTGTTCCCTATATCGTCTTTTGTTTAAGACTTATTTTCTTCTCTTGTTGGTCAGCCGACTTTTAGAAGTGTTTGCGATTCATATTCACAGGACTCTTTACCACTTCATTTATGTTCTGTTGTATCCTGATGGGTCCTTTCTTCCCAAAACTTGAGTGGTTAGAGAGGGAGATAAGGCTTTTTCTCCTATCAATCTTCCCTCCTTTCTCATTTTTATGAACCCTCATCCATATCGTCTTTTATGCTCTTCCATTGGGATTCTACGGTGTCACATGACTTATGTCCTGTCACTTTTACCCTGACTAGTTTGTAAGAGAGGGTTTTATGTTCATTTCTCTTCTTTTTCAGAGACCTATGCCTGGTCAGGTATGCTTATTTCCAAATCCACACTAGCTACCAGTTGACCAATAAAAACATTTCCTGGCAGCAATGAGTTCTGTTTAGATGGGGTGTTCCATAAGACCACCTTGTGCGCTTTCCAATTGGTAAACAATTACAACACAAAGACAACTACACTACTGGACTGACATTCATGGTCTGTCATGAGTAATGTTTGAAGGGATTGTGCCCATCCCTGCTGACCCCTAGATTGAATAAATCAGGGTCTGTTTGCACTATCTCTGGAGCATTGTTCCTTGGGACTCTCGAATGCGAGTATCACCTCCCTTATCCCCCCATTCATGAGAATCCTTACTACTTCCAGTCACTGGTGTGGTGGACATAGGTTTATTCCTCCTCAATGATGCTTGAACTCATTATTCCACTCAAGGAGAAGAAGGCAAAGCTGGGTGCCCTCTTGCCAATAACCCTGAATGGTTTTCCCAGATGTATGGTAGGAGCAGGATCAGCCTACACAGGAACCTCCTTGCAATTTTGGTTCAGGGATGACTGTTCCCTATCTGATTGAGTTGAGCATGGCCCTTCTTTTTACGTCATTCTCTTCATTTCGATGATCATAGAGGAGGGTTTTTGACTCTTCATAATTCTACATGCGGAGCATCAATTCCTGTGCCATTGATTGGACTTAGTTTGTTCCACATTCTCCATGTAATTCCAGAGGCAGGATGTATGTGTTGCCTTTCCTCTCAGGTTGGGGAGTTAGAATTTTGGTTCGTAATCCCAGATCAAGTAATTTCTGTTTCTTCAGGTTGAATGAGGCATGATAGGTGATGTAATTCCAAGTTCAATGTGGTGCATTTTATGCTTCTTCAGGTTCTCTTCATAATTCTGGTGGCTCAACATGCAACATTCTGTAACTTTCAGGCTGGATTCCAATAATACCACATTACTAAACCAGACTAAATACAAAGTGGTCGTCATGCCCTAGCCACTTCGTCTTGGATCTCGATTTGGGTCCACAGCCCTATAATTCCAATGACGAGACGTGGGACCCTGTCTGCTTGGTTGGGGCCTGGATGAATTCATATTCTTCTAATGATATTAGGATTTCGTCTTTGTGGCCGGTCAGCCTGTACCACCTTGCACTTAGATTTCATGTGGTCTGGGCGAAGAGCATACTTGTTTCAGAAGTAGTGCAGATCCCACTAGTGTGCTATTCCTCATTTTCGCACACATCTTTTTCTACACAGACACTTTCTGTGTAGTAAGTGTGTTTCAGAAGTTAACATTTTTTGTAATACCGTAAATGTATTTACGATAATACTTACTTCATCTCACACTCTCCAGTCCCTCCCACGAAATGGCCAATCTTGGGTCTGCTAATATGGACCATCTTGAAAAGTGAATAGGAAGTAATAACATTGACGTAGGTGGAGATAATCAAAAGATTTAAATTGCTATGGGCAATATAGTGGGGTATAAAGGCTGGAGCAAATGGGGCAATATTCATACCCATGTTTAGATGAGCGGAGAATAAAAACTGTTGTCGGTATAAAGCTAAAGTAGAAATGAGTATTATTGGAAATATATTTTTGGTATAGGAAAATGTTAACTTTTATCATCTTTAGCCAATCACAGTTTCTGAACCTCTGTTGTTGTACTGTGATGTAATTGCTTCAAGAAGTTGTAAGCTAGATTTCTAAACACGTAATGAAATACTTTTTCAACTAGATAACACAAAATGATTTTTATTCAGTGGAGACTTGTGTATAGATTGGAAAAAAAGTGATGAAATCTCAGTTTGGTGATACGTTTTTCAGAATAAAAGATGTTTGTGAAACAATTTTGTCACAGTTACCATCCTTTAAAAATTTAATCTTGCAACTAGATTGCTTCATCATTTTCTGTTGCATTTAAAATATTATGTTCTTTTGATTAGCAGTGTATAAAAATATTGGCTTGCTTGTAATTTTGGTGCTGTCAAAAGTTATCTTTATTGTACACCAGTGATTGAAAACAAAGTATCTGCTTGTTGTTTTTTTGAAACCAAAACTAAGATAAAAATTGCAATTTTATGAAATAAAAACTTAATTGGAAAGTTCTACAAGAAGGTAGGAAAACATATAAAAGTAATTCAAATGTAAAACAGAGGTAATAATTTTTGTTTCGTGAAAAAACATATTGGTATAAAGGATACTTTAAAGACCTGCAATATCTTACATACACTGACTTGAAGATGGAAGACTTTCCAAACGTTGTCCTCTATTCTTGTGTTTTTTTACAACAGGTAGTTGCCTTCCATTCCAGTTTACTCATCATGAATACTTTTCCTAAACAATCTATCAAAGAATATTGCTATAAAATCATTTTGAATTTTCAAAGCTGTCAATTTATACAAATATGATATATATAAGAATAAGATATTTTATTTTGCAAAGGTTACGTAATCTGTAGAAAGTCATCTTAAGTTTCAAACAATTTATTTCATCAAATAGGTTTTTCTTGCAATAAAATAAACCATGCAACAGGTGTGTCGAATAGATGCACCCAGACACTTAAGAGTTAATGGTAAACTTCTACCATGCAAGATTTAAATATAAATGTGCTTATGCTGTATATTAAATGTTAGATTATTTTAAAAAAAACCTCAAGTATCAGACAAATAGCTGTAATGTTATTATCAGTTAATAAATTTGTAAATTGTTTTCCTTATCTTCCAGGTATACTGAAAGGTGCCTATTATTATTAAATGCTTATTAACTTTCATATTTAATAATCTGTCCTTACATTTTATTTTTTCAGAAAACAAGCATGCTCATCCAGGACTTTGAATGTAAGTGTATTTAACCTCAAAATTGTTAATCTCATAACAATATCACATATACCTGAGATATAAGATGTATCTAGAATACAACATAAGCAGCTTAAAACATTAATATATATTCTTACAATGAAATGATACTTCATATAAAATATTTACAAATGAAAGGTGTACACGTACATCTTACTTTTCAAATTGGAATTTATGTGAAGAGTTTCTCCATGTATTACTCAAGTAATACTTCATGAAGTTAGCCTGTAAAATGTCCCAAGTAAGTTGTATCTTGCTACCAATGTTTTCATCTTAAAGAACACTGATTCCTAACAGGTAAGACAGATTTTCTTTTGTATACATATAGCTTTGAGGTTAAAAAATATTCAAAATTAATCTATACTATTATTCTGCTTGTTTGTATGTACGACCGTTACGCTTTCTGACCGAG